GAATCGAACCTTATGGCGGTTCCCCAGGGTACCATAGTACCCCGGCTCTCGCAGTCATTTTCAGCCTGTTGATGGTCGACGATGCGGCAATCGACTCATCTCGACGAGCTGTACACGGTGCACTATTCAAGAGTGTAATTTTTCGATAACGGATTTTTTTAGGCTAATGTTTGGCGTTTCGACATGGCGGTATAGCACCGATTTCGGATTAAATTGGTACCCCAGTCGCGGAGTGACGTAACACCCCTGGAAAAAAAAATAGTGTCCCAGAAATAAAATATTTAATTGCCTCGGCCTTTTTGTATTATTTGGTACCCCGGGGTACAGCCATAAGGATCAATTATTGTAGGCACCAAAATTATGAAATAGAGGTGGACTAGAGCTGGTGGTTGGAATAATCTTGCTGAAAGCTGACCTTTAACCCTTTCCCGTTCTGAGACGTCCTGCCAGTTGCAGGGTTGGTCCCGTTCACCGCTGAATCTCGGAACACACGCGGTCATCGGAACGGAATCGGAAGACGTGCACGAATGTTATCGGAATGGGAAAGGGTTATTAGCCTCAAGAATACCATTTGTATTCACACCATATTTCCTACTATGACCCTTAGGTCATGGATATTGAAGGTAACACAATCTCAAATGTGTGGAAAAAAAGCGTGGAGAGGTGCATTTCTTGGATATGCACTAACAGAAGAGGAGCCCATGGATCTAAAAAACATGCGCAATTAGAGACTGTTAGGAAAGGTGGGCTTGGGTGGGGACGTGGCACGAGAAGGGATAAATAATGGCCGGTGTTCGAGATGCATGCGGTGACAGCCAAAGGAGAGAATGTGCCTGAGAGGATAATCACTGTGGAGTTGAGGATGATGTGTAGGAGTTAGATGGAGTGTTGCATCATGAGACCTTGGGGAGGCTTTCATCCAGCAGAGGAGAGAAAAGTGCACCATTGTTTATTCAAACGTAGTTTTGGGAGATGGGGTTTGTCTTAATTTTAATTCAACCTATGCTGATATTTATTCCAAGCCTTTTTTATAAATAGCTTAGGGTGAACATTGAGTGGTTAACAGACCATATTCCGCACACCACAGTAATACCGTGTGCATTTCTAATACAGTATGTATATGATAGTGTGAAACATCTGTATTAGGACATACGAAAGTGAGCGAGTGTAATACTGCAGTGACAAAGCGAAATATAAATGTGGCATTTATCCTTAATTTCAAACATCATTGTGTCTGTGTGAAAGGCGTTCATTTCTACAGCTCTCATTTACAATCCTGCAATTATTCAGCCCAGACTATCGCCTGCACAGATGGTTTTAACATGTAAATCTACAAATGCGGTTCCAATATCGAAGAAACAAATCAGCATAATTTTACAGTCTCAAGTCACATATGACCTTGAAATTCAGTCTGCTGTATGTGGCCTATAGGGGTGTTTAGAGTGATTGGAAACTAAAGCCTCAGGTTTGCCTATCCCAGACTGTCATTACACCTGCTTTTAGTGAGGTTTAAAACATATATGTTTCTGTAAAATGATACAAATCCTACGTGGTGTTTCTGGTTGGTAATTGGAGAGAACTTGGATCTCAAGCTTTGACTGCCGCGATGTTATCCTTGTCCAAAAGAACAAAAACTATTTATCGTTTGGTTGTATAAAATGTGGCAAGCGACCGTGAATGTGAAAGGTTTTCAAACTGATCACCGACCCTGACTTGAACTGAGAATGAACAAGGATAGCCTGGAATGTAAAGTGCTTTTGGAAAATGTTAATACCCTATCGTCTTACCTGGATTATGCTTCTAATAGACTGATTAAGAGTTTCTTGAATTCCGTATTTTAAACCTCTAATAACCCCTTGTGAAGCTTTCATAAAGGTTTTCACAAATTTTACTGCAGTGTTAAAAGTTAATTTCTCACGTTTTTTTCTATTATACGCCGTAAGTAATTTTACCTGAACATCTACATTTTACATTTCAATTTATGCTGTAATAAAAACCTACGTTAGTAAAATGACTGAACTGGAAGTTATTACTGCCACATCTACTGCATGAGCGCACATGGCTAATACATTCATTTCCTATTATAGGAAATAATTGTAGTGGTGCCGAATATTTGCTTAAATGTGTTTATTCAGATTTTAACCACAATTTAGAAATACGCACATTAAAAAAACAAACAAGCTCTCATTCGCCAATGTATATAGTTGTATGAGTAAAATAAATACACACAATCCGAGCCATACTGTACTCAATTGCCCATTGATAATCAACAAGGGATACCAGGCCACATCTGAACTTTGTTACAGCCATCATTAACATACTCGTGCCAATCACAAGCCTTGAATGAATCCCGATTGGAAATTCTGACTTTCATAATCGGACATACACGATGGTGTGTAATTTTTTGAATTGAAAACTCATTTCCGAAATTGTAAACTCATTTTTTTTTCAACTGATGTTTGTATTATCCTTCCCCCGCACCTCCGATTAGCACTGTTGGATACGTGCAGTGCGAAATGTCAACGTACATACATGGGAAATCCGCACGAGATTGTTACAGCAGGACTCTGCTGTGTGCATGACAAACATGTAAAATAGGTGGCTTGCTCGAATCTAAATTTCCCGTCCTCAGTATTGCACGGATGTATTGTGTGGTAGTATATAGCACTGGAATCCCGATTGAATTTCTAGATGGATTCGTTTTTGTCTCATCTCTACTGCCTCGTTTGTATTGTTTCTCTCCCTTGGAGGCTTGGGGAGTCGTACCACCTCTGACACCAATCGGTGGGGGCCAACAACGTCCACCCCACCGCCCTCGTTGGGCAGGTGGGGCGCGACGTCCGCCCCTTCCGCTCCCTCCTCCACCACATTGATCGGCTCCAGCCGGGCCCCCGCCGACCGGGTGATCGCCCCCCCCTGGCTCACTACCGCACGGAGTTAAACCAAACTCACCCGTGTACACCACAGCCAAAGCTAACGCAGGGCCGCGACCGCGCTCGCACCTGCCGGCGATCATCTCCCAGCACGCGCGCACACGCTGCGGATCCGCGTTCACTCTCACAGCGCGTTTCCCCACGCAGTCGCTCCACACGAAAAATCACAGACACCACACCGATGCTCTGTGCTAACTTTTCTTTGCGGCGCCAAATACACACTGCCTGGGGGAATATTTTGCGAGAAGAGCCTAGCCTAACGCTGCCTAAGTGCCCAGACACTCAAACGTCCGACCACGTACCTCAAGGCTGTACTCACGGCGTCGCGCGTACGCTGTACGAGTCGGAGGGAGAAGGAAGAGAGAAAACTTTACCTATCACTGCCTCGTAGCAGCACTCGCTGGCATCACACGGATGCTGCGAGCGGCTCGAGGAGGTAGGACGGCAGAGAGTGGGTCTTGCCAGCCCAGAGGTTGAAGACAAGAGACCGAAAATTGTCCCGGGCTACTCTTTTTATTCCCTTAGCTTCAAAGGCCCGGGGTGACGTCGTACCGTGCGGCCAATCGTGCGCTTACCTGCGCCGTCCTCATGTTACCGTGTCCTCCGTCGAGTGCCACGTTGTTGGCGGCGCCGATCACCTATTGTTGCCCGTTGTCCAGAAGAGCGTCTGGCTGGCGAACACACACCCTGCGAGTGTGTATTTGGCATGGGGGCCGAGATGGGGGTTGGCAGTGGCTCTGCGATTCTCCTGACCTCATGCTCTTCTTGCTTAATATTCCACCCTCAGTGCTCCCCCCCCCCCCCCAATGTCGTGAATAACTTATTACGGTTGGCCCAGTGAGCCTTTTTTTTTCTGCGCCCAGACAATTTGAAGCCAACTTAGGGGCACCGCAATGTGACCTGTCCTGCGAGGGTCGGCCAATCTCCTGGCACCGGGAAACCGTGGGACTTTCCTCCTAGGGACCCTTCAGATGAAAACCTGTTGCGCCAGGCGATCCCCCGCCAGCACACTACGTGAGTGCCCTGCGGGTGTGTGCCCTGCGGGTGTGTGCCCTGCGGGTGTGTGCCCTGCGGCTGTGTGCCCAGGGTGGGGGCCGGGGGGGGAGTCGCGGCGCTTGCGGAGTTGCTCGGCGGCCGTGGCACCGCAGTTTCATCACTGGTGCACACCCGTATGTCAAACCTCTTCACTTACAAGAGAAATAGATAAGGTATATATATATTTTAATCAGTGCATACCACGTGCTATAACATACAGGTCAGAAACATGGTCATTAATCAACAACAAAAAATTATAGCCACTGAAAATATTGAAAAATAAGCCTGGAAAGATGCATGGTTGGAATTGCATTAAGAGAGCAAGAGGAAGACACGGATTGTAGAACATATAGGTTAATGACAATTTAAATCGTGAAGAAAAGTGAAATTGTGCAGGACAATGCAAGAAGGGAAGATATGCGAGAGTCATGATGGAGTCAGCCAAAGAATGGAGTGCATCCGAGAGTCGGTCGGTCGGGGAGATGGAGAAATAACACATTCTCCTGCGGAGGGAGCTGGTAGGAACGTTGGGTTGCTCCGTCAATGGCCAGGGTCAACGGCGGCACCACGTGGTGTATTCCGCAAATATGCCCGATTGTGAGGGCGGGCACAAGCCGGCGTGGGTAAGTTAAATGTTGAGTTTTATAAGGGCACCACAGGGTGACCAGCCCGTCCCCACCCAGCCCCACCCCTCCCACCCCCCACCCAACCCCACCCTCCCCACCCAGCCCCTCCCCTCCCCACCCAGCCCCTCCCTCCCCACCCAGCCCCACCCTCCCCACCCAGCCCCACCCTCCCCACCCTCCCCACCCAGCCCCTCCCCTCCCCACCCAGCCCCTCCCCTCCCCACCCAGCCCCTACCCACCCAGCCCCTCCCCACCCAGCCCCTCCCCTCCCCACCCAGCCCCTCCCCACCCTCCCCTCCCCACCCAGCCCCTCCCTACCCAGCCCCTCCACACCCTCCCCTCTCCACCCAGCCCCACCCCTCCCATGTTTGGATGCACGACGGACGGACACAATAATCCCCTGTGGGCTGGTGTAACCAGGAGGTTCCTACCAGTAAAATCAGTTTGTGTGCAGGATTGTTACATCACAGAAACATGAGAGATGGCGGTGGCTTGAGAAGGCCTTCATCTGGCAGTGACCGGTGATGATGATGAGATATAGGAACCAAAATCAGATTGCATTCGATCAATTGAACCGTGGGTCTTCCATTTCAATGTATTCCAGGAGCGTTCATTTAAACAAGGCAATAAAACCAGTTTCGACTCAATTCATTATCATCATTTGCATGTGGCCTGTTAAGCCAAAGCTACCTGGGAGCACGATGTTATGAATGAGCCATCTACAAACAAAAATCTGTTACACATAAACGCATGTAATATGCAAGTACAGTATATGTCATGTCAATGCGCACACTGTAACACATCGTGCTAGTAGATTCAATAATGTGCAGCGTGCACTATTTTATCCATTATTGCAATTCGTTACTCTGCTGCGAGTAAACAGCATTCATATATTCGTTGTATTTTCGCATTGCAATCGAATGCTATTGTACGCACACTCTTCAATTATGCACATACAACTGAAGAGGTCTGCCTTTGAGTCTGAGTCACCTGAAGGCAGAGCATTCCCTTTCAAATAATGCGCTTCGGTGACGCTGCCATGGGTGTAATGATGAGCACACTGGACTTTTGCCGTCCAGAGGCCGCCGGTTCAATCTCCCGCAACAACAGCTCAAACAATTGGCACGTCTTTTTAAAAGCACCCCCCCACACACACATCACCTCTCTCGCCTCTTTTTCACCCAGCAGTATGAACGACTACCCACAGTTCATCGGTGCGTTGCGTGTGGTAGGGTAAAGGTGGGTGTACTCCCACTCACCCTCGTCCAAGACATCTGGCGAGTGTGGAAGACTAAGGTTTCCCGAGGGCTCTCTAGGGCTCCCTCTAGTAGTGCTGTGAGCAAATAAATGCTGGACTGTACCTTGAACGTTTCAAAATTGTAATTTTATTCTAATATCTCCATGAATGACACGGGTTTTTGATACGAAAAAAAGCCTTGACATCTGCTTTTTGTCGTGCCACAATTCCGATTGGACATCGTCAATGTTGTAAATGTACAGTCGGCCCAGAACTGTGTTTATGGAACATTTAAATAATTCACACTGCTAGCAGAGGACTTATCCCATTCAAATCCAGGCTCCTGGGGGTAGCATCCATGCTGAGGCTTAACCCATCAATCCATCATCAGCCTCCGTGAATGACACAACGGAGACGGATCATCTACAGGAATTCGACAAGCTTCTAGAAATAAACAGCATCAAATGGAACATTGCTCCTGTACATACTGAAGCTCCGTGAGGAGGACACGTGTACATTTCAATGTATTTTTTGACAAACGCAATGGTGCACATCTTAGCAAAACCTCTGCTGGCATGACCTCCTGACCTTTCATTTCGTCTGTGACATTGAGAGACCTATAGAGCGCTGAGGTCAGGTCATAACAAACACTGGTGCCTCAAAATCAGTGTGCGTACATCATGATGGGACAGGCAGCCTGGGGGGAAGAGCATTGGTGGTGCCATCCCTGCAAAGAGGTCTTAGCCGTTAGCTGCGGGCCGCATTGCAGATTCTTGTGGCGTGTTTACCACTTTGGAGAGGTGTCACAACCCCCTTGAACTCAGCCTGCCCCACCCATAGCTGCCCCGAGGAACGTAATTTTTACGGGCTTAGTGTTGAATCGTTTTTTAAACATACACGTTGTTAGAAGGGTATATAAATAAGCAACATGCACTTATTCTACATGTCTGTTTCTAGATCCGTCCTGCTTTTTTATTGTAAAAAAGTTTACTATTTCAATAACTGCTAGTTGGCTTTAGCTAGCTCTGTCACACATGAATTATATTTTAAATTGAATTACACAATATATTTAAAACTTACCTTTACTACTTCTATTTAAACATTTGTATCAATGGAATTCTCAAAACATGTGGAAAGTATAACAGCACTGGCATGGCTAATCGCAGCCCTACTTATACAAAAACAAGTTACATTAATGCAAAAACAACGGTACAGCTTTTTGAAAAACGAAGCATCAACCGGTAAACATACAAACAGTAATCTCCCTCACCTAAATCCCAGGGGTCATCTGCATTTCCGAAAGAAGGAAGGTTCTGTTTCTGAATGTGCTTGAGGTGTCTGTGCTGCTTCGTGGCGGCACCTGCAATACACATGCATTATGGCGAGATCACACCCACACACACGACACCTATACTCATCACTCATCCTTAGAGGCCGTGGGTGTCGTGTGTGGAGCCTATCGATGTTCACAGCACTCCTTGGATATATCTTCTCGTGCCTTTTTCTCTGCCAACACCAACTGGTGTGAGCATGACTTATAAAACAATCAGTGGGCATACCCTACCTACAGTGCATGCGGCCACAGTGCTGTGTGTGTGTGTTCAGTTTGTTGTCCTTTCCCCGCGCGGTTGGCTATGTAAGGTGCGAAAGAAGTTCTACGTACATGCATATGTTGCCTGCAAACCTTGTGAGCTAGTGAGTGTGTGATGTTGATCAAGATGTCAGTAGCTTTCGTCCTTGCACTGCACACACCGGGTTAGTGGTCATTTCCCCTCTGTGCATGTACAGGGCTGAATATTGCTGCATGCGACCACTCTGCCTGGTACTTCTGCACCATGTAATCTGGGTGAAGATGTGGGATTTATGTGAATGTTTTCCCGTGGTCGCAGTATACCATTCTCCACTGGTGCACAGTCAAGACTGAGTTTGGGGAAAGAGACATCTATCCCTCAACACCGGTTACACAGGCGCACAGCAATGCTGACAACGTCACACAGGCCATTTGACCAAACATTGCAAGCCAAGTGTGACCACCGGTAATTGAATAGAACATTTACGGTGATTAAATTTCAGTGCATACCATTTGTTCGCTTGTTCAAGCTTGTGCACAACATTTTAGAAACCAGAGTTAGCCTCGTCACCTGTGCCGTCATGTTTTCAGCCATTTATAAAGCCACAAAGTTTTAAAGGCCTGCAACATGTCCTCAGGTTATTGACTGAACTAATGCAGTGAAATTGCAGTGACAAATTGTTATTACTATTAGGTTATGGTGAGCCATAGTTGAGACAGCCTCAAGAGAGGGGGTGGGGGGGGTTCTTAACCTCTAAGCCACACAGTGACTCTAAATAGTCGGCTGACTTGGGTGGATTCAATTACAGACTCAAACCTGAATTCTATGATGGTGGCCTGATTGCTGCAGAATGTTTCCTAGTCCGTCAAGCATGTGTTAAGCATTGAACAATATGGTTATGTCTGCCTGCACCCATAGGGGTCAGGCTATTAACACGTGTATTAGAAATACACAGTGTATGTTTATGTATTAAATAATATATTTGTGAACCAACCTAAAATTATCTGTTGACAGCTTCAACATAAGACCGCATTAATTATTTTACTCAAACAAGTAAAACGATATGTCTTCCTGCTCCCTACATTCCCACCCACTCATCACCCCCACCATGTTACATTTCACAACATTCCACTCAGCAATGGCTATCACAGCCATCACCTTGTTGGGGCATATTATCACCAAAAATCACGCCTATGCACATCATAAGCATGCGACCATGGATCGCAATATCTTTGAGAGATCTCAGCTCTGAGTGGCAAGGTTAGACGTAGAGGTATTACACAAATACCCAGGTCTAAGAGCCATGGTTTGAACCCAATTGCCCAGCTCAGGTGCTTTGAGGTTGCTCAGAAGAGCAGCAAATAATTCCTAATCATGAGCTCAAAAGTAAAAATTCAAATCACATCCCCCCACTCCTACCATGAGTGATGAGACAATGATTTGTGTTTCGGGAACGATGTTTAATTAAAGGATACATTATTTTTGTCTAGTTTTACCACCTCATTTGTATTTCTTATAATTTATCTACATTTTTACTATTATGGTTATTCCATGAGCTTGAATGTAATAATAGCTTATGATAATTATGAAACGATTCCCATTCACACCATTCGATGCACGTATTGAGCATAACAATCATAATAATAGGGGTTTTCCCCTTTTTTCTGGAAACAAAACTGAAACCTTTTTACAAGGATTCATGTCTGCATTAACCACAATACCTGCAGTCAAAATGCAAAAAAAACATACTATGATAATATATCCATTGTCCTTGACACTGATTGGTCCACACCAAGGGACGGCTTTCTTTTGAGCCTCGACCCAATTGGTGCTCGACCACATGACGCCACAAGGCGTACAGCTCAAAGACAATTCACTATCAAAGTAATGAGGGCTCGGGGTGAGCATCTACATCATTAGACCTCATTTGCCAGTACCAAAATGTAATAATAGGGGTTTTACCCTTTTTTCTGGCAACAAAACTGAAACCCTTTTACAAGGATTCATGTCTGCATTAACCACAATACCTGCAGTCAAAATGCAAACAAAAAACATACTATGATAATAAAGCCGTCCCTTGGTGTGGACCAATCAGTTTCACGGACAATGCATATATTATCAGAGTATGTTTTTTGTTTGCATTTTGACTGCAGGTATTGTGATTAATGTAGACATTAATCCTTGTAAAAAGGTTTCAGTTTTGTTGCCAGAAAAAAGGGGAAAACCCCTATTATTACATTTTGTACTGGCAAAGGAGGTCTAATGATGTAGATGATCACCCCGAGCCCTCATTACTTTGATAGTGCATTGTCTCAGTGTTACTAATATTATGAATTTCTTGAAGTATGACTTGGATTTTTGCCACTTCTATATCCAGCCAACTCAGCCCATCACACCGTAGCGATATATTTTACAACTTCAAACAATAGTTTTAATATATTTTTGATGATCATATAATGAGATTGGGAAATTTTCACTTGTGATCTCTCGCAGTCCATGTCCTCTTGAATATGACATCAGAAAACTACAACAGTTGTTTCAATTACCTCCTTTTCTCACCGAGTGGTGTACCATATCACATGCTGCTGGGGAGTTTTTCACTGTCTGGGAATTAAGCTTTAAAATGTATAGTTCCCAGAGCTGGAATAAACCGCATTGAGTGAAAAATCTAAATGTAACATGATAGGTAATTTTATACAGTCAGGGTGACTGGGTTGAGGACAACTTGCTACACTTAATAATGGCTGTGTGCCTGGGTTCGAACCCAGGATGATAGCTGTGGTGACTAGGTGCTCTGATGGGGCATTAGGCCTGGGAAGCCTGTTGGCCAGCTTTCCCTACGATAAATACTGTACGAGTTTCACTATTTTTTTAAATTAAGGCTGCCCTATGGAGAGACTGTCCTCTGCCAAATCAATGTGAACATTTAACCTGAGCTCAGGACAGCCAAAATGGATAATCCCCTCCCAACAATAACCGTACGGAGACACTGGCTGACATCGTTCAAGATGTTCCACACTGCCTTCACACTCCTCAATGCCGACGTAAGAGAGGGCCCGCCTCACCGGCTGTCTCGTCCACGGTGTCCTCCTGCAGTCCACAATCGTGACCACCGTTTTCCAGACGAAGAAGGGAAGCAACCCCAGAGCCACGACACCAGCGCACACAGCCGTGAACGTGCGCAACCAGGGCATGGGCCATGGACATCCTGCAGGAGGGTGGTGCCATCGGGACACGTTTACCATGAGCGGTGTGTGCCATCTTCCACTGTCATCGTTCACATATGTGCATTCATATTTCATTCATTAAAAAAAAATGTCATGGGATAAGACATTACTGTTCAGCATTGAGAGATAGCTATTTACTTTGGCAATACTTTGTAGGTGTAGCATCAGAACTGTGGCCTGCTGTATTTCTGATTTACTCTTGGGCAGGGATTGTTATAGCATGGTGTGCTGTGCCTGTGGCAGAGAGAGAGAGAGCGAGAGACGGAGGGAGGGAGGGAGAGAAAATGAATTAAATGAAAGAACTGCCTTTAAAAAAAATTCAAAGGCAGAGAGCGAATTATCGTTTCCCTTCTATTTTATTCCAAGTTTGTCTATTTTCCAGCATTTGTGGTGGTACATTGCCACGTCATGAAATGTAAATCACCTTCCCACTCACTATTATGTGGTGAAACGTTGCTGCCAAAAAAATTGTAAGATAGATATTGACTTGTGTACCAGGATGTGGGTGGATGGCATTATCTACACTGATATGCAGAAGCAGAAAATCAGGGAATGCCTGTGAGCCACCCTCTAAACCCGATCGGGGATGAGATCCGTGGAAGAAGGCAGCAAAAGAGAAAGTGTCACATGTGCTTTCCTATGGGGCATATAATCGCATGAATAATTGAATCGGATAGTTGTCTTTGATAATTACCTTATAATGTTAAATACAATAAAACGAACGCTTAAATGCAATGTTACATGTCATATATTAAATATATATTATGAGGGGGGTATTTAATTTCCTGTAATCTCCCCAGTGCTGATGTTACTTCCTGCCCCAGATGCATATTTAAGGCTGAGTTGATCTAGGGGAGGCCCAGGACAAATCCAGTCACCAATTGTCACTAATAATGTCCATAGCCAGGAATCGAACCCAGAGCGTGGGTTTGCAGCGCAGTGCACACACGACTGAATAATTACGCCTCACCACACACAAACACACAAATATACACAATCAAGAATTCCTATTCACCAGATAGATGGTCCAAGAAAGTGATTTTCACACTCCGTGCACATAGCATCTCACGCTTCTCCAGCCAGCATTCCACACAGTCCCTGTAGGCACAAAAACAGCAACTAGAAGCTGCTATGGAAGGTTGGTTTCATCCTAACACTCGACATTTATCACACAAATGTAGCGTTACAACGCCATATACTGTAGTTGTGGACAAATGGCTGGAAACACATAATTGCAGAATTTTGTATGATTCATAACAGTGTAGAACCCAGTGGTTAAGCTTTAATTAATAAAGCAAAATAACAAGACAATGGTGAACATCGTGGAACAGATGCATCAATACATTGAAGCCAAGGAAGATGCTGCTTAATGATCCAGAAAAGTAAGAAATATCAAAGAGTGGAACAACTCTGCACCCCACGAACAGACTGTCTCATTCCAAGCTTGAGCGCTGGTGATGAGCCTAGCCTATCATCATTAGTATGTGTTGTGGCCCAATAAGGCTATCACGAAGCCTGCAAAGGCATTTTCCATTTCAAGCCACAAAACAGCTTCTGTGCAGCCTGGGTCCACAGATGATCATAAAATGAACTTTATTTTCAATGCAATGGAGAAAATGTTCAAGATTAGCAACACTGTGAGCCAGCCATTCATGGAATTTAATTTGCATGTTTTCTTAACAGGGAACAGTTGTTGATTTCCCACAGGCATTTTGTAAGGCTTGCTCTGAATTATCAAAGATGTGGACAGCTGAGGACAATAAAACCCTGTGCCATGATCACTCAAAAAGGTTGTCTTGGCGATGGAGACAATGACTTCTGACCTTCACCTTGACATTATTTGCAGGAGGACTACGTGTTGTGATAGTCTACGCCCTTCAATAGAATATTGATAAATCAGTCTCCTTACTCAAGTGAAAAATGTACGGTGCTAAATCAGCCGTTAGAAATGCCAAATTCCCGTGTCAAGTACACGCGGTGCTCATTTCGCATGTCTGCACAAAGTCACCCAGGTGGCTAAACATTACTGTGAGTATACAAAAGAGGACTTAGGCATTCACTGAGAAATAATACATCTGAATGGTTTAATAAAGCAAACCAATTACTGTATGCATGTATATATGCTGCGTTTCTATTGCGCCGTACGTAGCCAACCGTGCTCATCGGAGGTGCAACTAATAAGATGCGTGACTACTGTGCATATACTATACGTTAACAACAACAAAAAACCAAATAAACTAATGGACTCATGCCCAAGACATGGATAGAGCAATCTACCCATGAATGGGAAAACGGGGTGGAGGAGGAGGAGGAGGAGGCGGCGGTCAGGGGCTCCGGTAACAATCCCACGGCTCGGCCAGGCAAACGGAACTCACGACGGCTCTGATGTCTCATCCAAGCCGCTGGCTCCGAGCGGCCGAGGAGGGCCAATGTGGGGGGTCGAGTGTAAATCGATCGCCCCCAGCACACCCCCCCCGAGCGCGGTGGCACCGCGTCAAGCCGCGTGCCACCGGCCGTCACCGATGCGACGCTGCTCTGCGGGAAACAGCCGCCACTGTGTGTGCTTGCGCAAGCTCCGCTGAGCACTTTGTACCTCGACAAATTGATAGCAAAAAATAACCCCCCCCCCCCGCTGCCGCCGCCGCCGCCCCCCAGAGAAGAATGACTTTCGCAACGCGAGTAGGCTGCAAGGAAATCCCTTTTGGATGTGTGTGTATGCGGTTTGGCTGGCCTAGTGCAGCAGCACTGCCACGGCCTCAATAAGGCAATGCGAGTAAAGTTGATGGTGAAATATGTTGAATTGGAGTGTCTGCATGACGAAGTGTTATCTTCGTGTGAATGTGTGAAACTTATGGTACACTTAGACACATGCAGGGCACGTCGTTGGCAGCTTAGAGTGATTGCATGGAGGGAAAAAAAAATCTATTCGGTTTCAACCTCTCCAGTAATACTTTTCAGCGGGGTACGGGGACGATGGAATGTTAATTTTTTTGTGCCATAAACAGAAACCCTCGACGGGACAACATGTCTACAAAACCGAGACATTCACGTGAAAAGCACACGGTATTTCACGCATGTACAGTGAGGGGAAAAAGTATTTGATCCCCTGCTGATTTTGTACGTTTGCCCACTGACAAAAAAATGATCAGTCTATAATTTTAATGGTAGGTTTATTTGAACAGTGAGAGACAGAATAACAACAACAAAATTGAGAAAAACGCATGTCAAAAATGTTATTAATTTACATTATGAGACCTCCTTTGCCAGTAACAAGATATAGTAATAGGTTTTACCCTTTTAACTGGCACAAAAAAAACTGACACCTTTATTCAAGGCATCATGTTTGCAATAACCACAACACAAGCAGTCAAAATGCAAACAAAAGAGACAACTCTGATAATAATATGCACTGTCCTTGAATTTGATTGGTCCACACCCGAGACAGCTCACCCCGAGCCCTCAACACTCTGATAGGGCGCTGTTTTTGAGTTGTACGCCTTTTGGCGTCTGCTGGTCTAACACCAGTGGAGACTAGGCTCTAAGAAAAGCTGTCTCGGGTGTGGACCAATCAAATTCAAGGACAGTGCATATTATTATCAGAGTTGTCTCTTTTGTTTGCATTTTGACTGCTTGTGTTGTGGTTATTGCAAACATGATGCCTTGAATAAAGGTGTCAGTTTTTGTGCCAGTTAAAAGGGTAAAACCTATTACTATGTTATGAATTGATTTGCATTTTAATGAGGGAAATAAGTATTTGACCCCTCTGCAAAACATGACTTGTTGGCAATCACAGACGTTTTTTGTAGTTGGCCACCAGGTTTGAACACATCTCAGGAGAGATTTTGTCCCACTCCTCTTTGCAGATCTTCTCCAAGTCATTAAGGTTTCGAGGCTGACGTTTGGGAACTCGAACCTTCAGCTCCCTCCACAGATTTTCTATGGGATTAAGGTCTGGAGACTGGCTAGGCCACTCCAGGACCTTAATGTGCTTCTTCTTGAGCCACTCCTATGTTGCCTTGGCCGTGTGTTTTGGGTCATTGTCATGCTGGAATACCCATCCACGACCCATTTTCAATGCCCTGGCTGAGGGAAGGAGGTTCTCACCCAAGATTTGACGGTACATGGCCCCGTCCATCGTCCCTTTGATGCGGTGAAGTTGTCCTGTCCCCTTAGCTGAAAAACACCCCCAAAGCATAATGTTTCCACCTCCATGTTTGACGGTGTGGATGGTTTTCTTGGGTTCATAGGCAGCATTCCTCCTCCTCCAAACACGGCGAGTTGAGTTGATGCCAAAGAGCTCCATTTTGGTCTCATCTGACCACAACACTTTCACCCAGTTGTCCTCTGAATCATTCAGATGTTCATTGTCAAACTTCAGACGGGCATGTATATGTGCTTTCTTGAGCAGGGGGACCTTGCAAGCGCTGCAGGATTTCAGTCCTTCACGGTGTAGCGTGTTACCAATTGTTTTCTTGGTGACTATGGTCCCAGCTGCCTTGAGATCATTGACAAGATCCTCCCGTGTAGTTCTGGGCTGATTCCTCACCGTTCTCATGATCATTGCAACTCCACGAGGTGAGATCTGGCATGGAGCCCCAGGCCGAGGGAGATTGACAGTTATTTTGTGTTTCTTCCATTTCCGAATAATCGCACCAACTGTTGTCACCTTCTCACCAAGCTGCTTGGCAATGGTCTTGTAGCCCATTCCAGGCTTGTATAGGTCTACAATCTTGTCCCTGGTATCCTTGGATAGCTTTTTGGTCTTGGTCATGGTGGAGAGTTTGGAATCTGATTGATTGATTGATTGCTTCTGTGGACAGGTGTCTTTTATACAGGTAACAAGCTGAGATTAGGAGCACTCCCTTTAAGAGTGTGCTCCTAATCTCAGCTCGTTACCTGTATAAAATACACCTGGGAGCCAAAAATCTTTCTGATTGAGAGGGGGTCAAATACTTATTTCCCTCATTAAAATGCCAATCAATTTATAACATTTTTGACATGCGTTTTTCTGGATTTTTTTGTTGTTATTCTGTCTCTCACTGTTCAAATAAACCTACCATTAAAATTATAGACTGATCATTTCTTTGTCAGTGAGCAAATGTACAAAATCAGCAGGGGATCAAATACTTTTTCCCTCACTGTAGATGCTGCTCTTGGTGGACTTTGGTGGGGTTGAGTGAACTCACACTGCATGGCCACAGTGGGGCTTGCTTGTGATAAAAGTAATGTTGACAATCTGTTTGCGTTGATTGGAAACAGTTTCCTGCTGCTGGATGTTGGTGAAAATGGAATTGAATCTACGGCCATTTAGACTAAGTGATTTAGATGACTGGACAATGCATGCAATGGTGCGGGACACTGGAGCTTGGAGAAGAGTAGCGGTAAGAATAGTTGATTTGTGAGAACAGCTGCTAAAACAAAATAACGGTTCTACAATCGACTATTAGTGTTGTCCGTATGTTAATGCGATTATTCTCATACAGCACGTGTCTGCACCAAAGTCAACTGGGTGGAGCGGTTAAAGCGTACATGACTTTACAATTTGAAGGTTGGGAGGTCAAATCCTGGTCAAGGATAGTTCTACTCTCGGGGTCTTTCGGTAAAGTCACGTAGATAGAAAAATAACAAAAAATTCACGCCTGCTGTATTTTTTTCACCTGAAGACGATTGCTTGTGTTGCGATCGAAACGTCGTGATTTATTTTATTTTATCATTTTTCTTCTATCTACGTGACTCCAACGAAAGACCCAAAGAGTATGAATTCCTGCAGTCGCGAAAGCTTTAAGTTAAGGATAATTATCATCGCCAATTATCCCTCCTATGTGCATAAAACGAGTAGCACTTTATTTTACGAAGTTAACACTCGTTATTCTATGGAAATATTGGCCTCCACAATTGAAATGTGGCTCAGCCACCAACAAAGCCGGCACTGTGACTATAATGGATATGTAAGTATGCTGAACTTCTTTTCGCACCGTGCTAATTAGAGGCGTAGGAATTAATTAATGTATATAATTCTTTCCAGATTTGAAGTTTTCGTGACTGCAGGGATCCATACTGTTTGGTTCTTTCGGTAAAGTCACGTGGGTATAAAACATAAAATTAAAATTAAATCACGACGTTTCGATCGCAACACAAGCGACCGTCATCAGGTGGAACCGATTTAATTTTTATTTTATGTTTTATACCTACGTGACATTACCGAAAGAACCAAAGAGTATATAATTCTACACCAATAATAATGCATAATTCAAATGATCAGGCTTCAACAAATGTCCTTTTCCATTTCGTAACCTGAATTGGATGGCACCCATTCAAGTAAACTTTGCCAAAATCTGGCCCCAACCGCAAAGCATGTGAACACAGACAATGTGAAGTAGGCTCGAATGTAATTCATCATCTTTATTGCTCCTGGAGGAATCCTCTGAGCTACGAAGCTCTATTTCACGGATGTCCAGCAGTTTTACAGATGTCCAATTTAAAGCTCTGTCAAGTCGTCCATTCACAATGTGTGCAGGATATGGGAAATTGACGAGACCGCGGGGCCGGTGACGGCGGCCGTGTCGAGGTGGTATGTGTGCAGGGGGCATGGGTCGGTGGGTGGAGAGTGAATGTGGGGGGAGGGGCTTATGTTGATTTTTCTGCTACATGTGTGAATTATTCAAGGGGCCAAAGCGTGTGTTTTTCCCATTTTAATCATCACACGATGCGTACAAACTCTTTACTTTTCGACCAATACAGTGAAAGAAGTACGTCTGAACTGCGAGTAATTTAACTAACAATTACCATCTTTCTTGACCACGTATGCGTGTATGTTGAACTTCTTTCGCACCGTACGTAGCCAACCGTGCTAATCGGAGTTGCGGAGGGGGAAAAAGACAACAAACTAAACACACAAACAGCAGATGCAAAGATCTGCTTCGTTGTTGGACTGTGGCTTCGGTTACTTAATTGCTCGTTACATTGCCCGGCAATTTTCCAATTCGGGATACGACACACGACGGCATGATTTGTGGACACGCATCACCAATATGCAAACAATGTTATGGACACGTGCACACGCGTTCGCATCTGCACGCATACGCTCTCGTCGACACGTCCAATGCATATTTAATGACACTGCCCAGAATCTGATTCTCAGAGATCCTTTTTAAATGCACTGTACAGTGCAAATGAACAATGCTTTATTTATTTAATCCTTCCCCTGCCCTCTCTCCACCGAAACCTCAGCTCTAGGTGTTCTCATGTCAACCGCTCGCTTTAATGAACTGCGCGTGTACGCCTCGCTCGCTCGCTCTCTCTCTCTGCACGCCGTGGCTGCTGCTGCTGCTGCATGCGTTTGATAACCCGCGATCAATCACCGTGACCACGCCAGTGGAGGAGGCGGCTGTCTTGGCTGGTGGGGGCACGCAGTGCCTCCTCCTCCTCACAACCATCATTTGCGAGAGTTTGTGGCGGCTTGTGTCGCGTTTTCAGCACTCCTCCACCTATACTCTTTGTTTTTTATTCGGTAAAGTCACGTAGGTAAAATAAAACAAAATAAAACAATTAAATCACGACGTTTCGGAGGCAACACAAGCTTCCGTCTTCAGGTGGAAAATTAAATCACGACGTTTCGGAGGCAACACAAGCTTCCGTCTTCAGGTGGGAAAGGTCAACGCAGAATATCTGTTGACGCAGAATATCTGTTGAATATCTGTTGACTTTTCCACCTGAAGACGGAAGCTTGTGTTGCCTCCGAAACGTCGCGATTTAATTGAGTTATTTTGCTTTATTTTACCAACGTGACTTTACCGAATAAAACCAAAGAGTATGAATCCTTGCAGTCACGAAAGCTTCAAATCTAGAATGAATAACTCCTCCACCTATTCACTTCCTAGAGCATCGGCACGCGCGCGCGCGCGCGGGCCTTAATTGATTGGAGCCACTCACCGTGCTCTCGACGGAGAAGGAATAGCAGCCACAGCTCGAGAGGAGGAAACGGTGCACAGCGTGCCACAATATCATTGCATCCTTGTTATTTTGCTGTCCGTGCTATTTTCCCAAAGAGCAATTGTATTGGAACAAGGAATGCCCCCCCCCACCTCCCCACCGGGTTCTTGTGCAAGCTGGGAACGACGCTTTGATGTTCATTGTTGGTTGTTAGTGATGAAGTTGGGTTGACTGCACCCAGCTCAGGGAGTGTAAACCTGTGTGTGAGGGTACGTGAGACAGAGGAAAACGTATTGTCCTCTCGCAGAACCACATGTGGCAACCTCACTTAAGGTAGAGAAGGAAACGTATTGATAAAAAAAAACAGAGGGAAATCCAGCTATGTCCGGTTCTGGAGCTTTCACTGCCACATTTGTCACTTCGCTGTCAATCGGGCGACTTATTTTGATGGAATGGAGCTTCTTTGAGTGTTAAATGCCAGCAGCAAGCATACATGGGGAAAAATATAATTCCAAAAGCCACCCCTCGGCTCTGAAAATAATAAAAACCCAAGCTTTCCCGCAAGCGCATGCACTGCAGTGACCAACAATGCAACCTAAATGATGGACGATAGTCTCGTCACCGAGAAACCTTTCAACGGAGGCCTAGATATGTCTGTGTTCTGAGGCCATCTAAAGTCAAGCGATATTGTCTTGAGTGATGGCCACTTATGTGCCGTTATCACAAGTCAAAACACAAAGCTGGCGGCATGCAATCTTTCCACTATAGAATGGGCATGGTGGCGCATTCCTGTAATCCAGAAATTTCGGTACGTGCACGAGATGCCCATCTACAGGGCCAATGACGTGTCTGTAAGTGGCAGTATAGTAAGTAGGTTGCTGACTTCTCAGTTTGGTGTTTGAGTAATGTTTCCTTGTATGCATGACCTTTTTTATTTTCTGGACCCTCTGGATTTTCTCCAAAATGTACAAAACGGAATCGGTCCAGTATCCAGAGCTGGACCCTCCTGTAAAATGGCTCTTGAGACTCAGTGAAGCTTTCTTCAGTAAATATGAATATATTCTCATTCTAAACCATGTTGAGTGATTCACAGTGGAAAACGTCAATATCACGTCTAATAGGACACGTGCTATCATTCACATACCAGGACACTCACTGCCATTCTTGGTCTGTAGGCACTGTTCCTACTAAAAATGCTAACAATTATAATAGCTGCAAGCAATGCGTAATTGTGTTGTCATGACACCAATCACCATATATGGTTGTTATTTATTATTTACACTTTGTTCAAGACGACTAAGAGCAGTATTTGGATGAATAATGCACAAATTGACTCTCGAAGCCATCAATATTTCGTCCAACGCTCGAGTCTAGGGTCACGAGACCAGGTAATTTCATAAGTTCCCTTTCAGAGGAGGGATTACCCATGACCAGGGGTTAAATTGGCCATGGAACGAGCTCGTGACTAATTCATGATTAGGAAGGCGATTTAAGGCAAGCACAATGTCAAGGTAGCTCTCTACCATTGCATTTTCAGTAGTGCACTGCCTTCAAGCCAAAACACACTTAAGTGAAATTACTATTTAAGAGATATATATATATATATTTCAACTTGTACATTGCCTGGTGTCAAAATTGTTTTGATAGTTAAGAATAATTAAAATAGCATGTAATTGCTTTTGAGAGGCGTCCTACTTGGACACAGTACGAAAGACGTTCAACATACATACATATCATTAACTAAAGCGTTTAGTGACTTTCACAATTCATAGTGTGGAAATGTGATTCCATTCTTCGAATGAAATAGGAGTGTGAATAGGATCATTGGAATGGAAGAATAATTGTGGGGAACATAGACAGAGTCTCTCGTGGAGTTCAGGCAAGACGGGAGGGACCTTAGGCCGAGCTGGCCTTGTGGAATTGCCATTGAAATAACTGTCAACATTTTTATTTGACCAGGCATGGCCCACTGAGGTATATAGTTCGTTTTCAGAAGCAACCTGGCCACAAATGATAGCTCAATGGAGTGGCTTATTGTGTGGACACGTATAGTAGCCATATACTCTAAACGCATGTTTCTAAATGCGGAGGGAAAAATCGGAGGACCCGGAGACAAATCAACGCAACAACGGGGAAAACACGCAAACTCCAAATATACATGTGTCAGGGTCTGGATCAAACCCACAACCTCCTGCATACCAGGCGAGGTAGTTAACAACTTTCCACAGCGGTGCCCTTGTGTGGCCGACGCCTCATGAAAAAACCTGGCCTGATTCCTCCTTGATCCAGTGTGGCCTTCAGGGAAGACGGAATTGAACCTAATATACCAGCGAAATGGTATCGACCAGAATCGCCCAAGCATTTACCCAGGACAGCTACGTGTGTATATATTATTGGCTAAACACCTTGCTACTCCATGCATCCCAGCCCCCATGAGCATGCATAAGCAGTGTGCCCATATTGGCCTCCACTCAGTTGTTCAGGGAGGAATTTTGACAAATTCCGTGCACGAGGTATCGGCAATGCATTTGACTGGTGCTCGTGACCACCTGTAATAAATTCACCGTAAGCTATATTTGCAACGAAATTGCGAAAGAAAAGAATTCCATGACACTAGCCTTCCATGGCAAGAATCCCATTCAAATGTAAATTCGCCCATACAAAAATGTTGCCTCCTCCAGGAATCGTCCACGGTGATATAATTGAAATGGAACACAATTTCCTCCAGGAATTACCCGGCTCCACTTGGCAAAATGACGTCGAGTAACGAGACCATACATGTGGCACCTGCGAGCATCAGTGCGGGATGGACGGAGTGGAATGGCATCCGAAGAGCTGCTTGATCTGCCACGAGCAGGGCTCCAGGCTCTCTGACAAGCACCCCCAATGCAGCCCTTGTGGCACTGGCACGTCCCGATGTGGCACACTCCCCGGCCTACACACCACCCGCAAGTCAGGCCAGCATGCATCTGCAATCGAGCGAATGTGCCTGTAGGCGGCAATACAGCAAGGAACTTTCTAACTTTTATTTGCGAAGTTTGAGTGCTATCCCACATATGCATAGGACTTATGCATGAAGTAATAGTTGCCACCACACGTGAAACTACTATTTAAGTGACTGGCCACACATTCATAGCAGAACCCTCTTAAGATTAAAGGCTTTAGCCTCAGAAAAGCTTTCAAAAATAAATACACATATCTGCATTTACTAAAATATATATTTTTAAATAGCACACTCGTATTTTTATTCAAATACAGTCATAATAATAATCATAATCATTTACAGCCCTTGGTCTACCCACTGCTGGATGAAGACCTCCCCATGCCATTCAGTCATGGGGGTCGCTTGGCCTTGTTTCACCAGGCTGGTCAGTGCAGATTGGTGAAGGAGAGGCCAATGTCTGGTTCAGACACCACTCGCCACTAATGTGAGTCATGCAGTACCAGCTGAGTGTCCAAACTACGGCGCCATCGCTCAACACCTGAAAATGCCTAAAATACAGGGTGCTTACATTTTTGTTTTTTTTCAACACTTCTGAGAATTTGCAACAACACCACAAGAAATGTGCTGGCTCCGGGTTCTGGAGACCACTTGGAGCAGGTTCCAGGCCACGTGTTGACAACGATGGCGAACAAGTGGAGACTCTTTGACTTTTTGAAGCTATTAACGTTACATTTGTTATCATGTTACAGTGTGTTATCCCATGTAAGTGTTAATATTTTTTTGAAACACCCTGTATTATACGACTATTATATTCTGTTATATGGCAATGTAAGAATGGAATTGGCCAGGTTGCGTTATTTGTGATGGTATCAATAAGTCGCATATTCAAGTTGTATCACAGATATTCTCTTAAATAGCAAAGAAAAGTATGAATAATAAAATTGGTCGTTAAAACGTACGTATGAAATTGTATAACAGTGAACAGCTATTCTTTGGGTCAATTGGTAAAGCCACGTGGATAGGTTCAAAGAAAATAACAAACTACGATGTCTCGGACCATGTTCGTGAACATAAGGCAGATTGGAAACACGGTAGGACCAATATCTCGGCCGTGACTGATCATTGTTTTAATGCGGTGGGCTCACACGAAATTGATTTCTCTAAGACGATGGTACTTTGCAAGCCCACTGTCTATCAACAAAGATTCGTTCATGAAGCCATCCATATTTATAGACACAGACACAATTTCCACCGAGAAGATGGGTACAAACTGATCAATCATTGGAAGGACGTTATCAACCAGTTTAAATCATAACTGGCTATGATGTTGCCATCCTACCACCTTCCGATGTTAGTTGTGCTTCACGCCCATTTCACAGGATTCACACCAACACAGCCACTTCGCGCACCGACTACTCCTCGGTTGTGGTTCTGCGATGTTCTATTAACATGCTAATCTCTCAGTAACATGCTAATCTCTCATTAACATGCTAATTTTCACCTGGCAGCCTTTTGATTGGTGGAAAACCAACCACTGTCGGGTTGGCTGCCCACCACTTGCATTAACAATGGCTGCTGATATTTGGGCTACGCCCATTTCAAACCCTTATAAACAGTTTGCCTTGAAGACGACCGCTTGTGTTGCGATCGAAACGTCGTCGTTTTTTGTTATTTTCTTTGAACCTATCAACGTAACTTTACCGAAAGACCCAAAGAATATGAATTCCTGCAGTCACGAAAGCTTTAAGTCAACAGAGAACAGCTACTCTGAACGGACAACTGATATTCTGTAGCAATCCCTGTCTTTAACCTGCATTGATCCAATTGTCAAGCTCTACCTGGAAGCATTATCCCATCACACACAGTATAATGCAGTACAGGGAAACCTGGGCATTTTGGGTTAAAATTACATCAATGTATCCAAGGCAAGCACATAACATGCCCCACAAATGATTGGACCATGCCAATGCACATAATCATAAGAGCCAATAAAACTGCACTGCATGGTTAGAAATTTGAAAACTGTATCCCAAAATAAAATATTCAAAATTTGCCATTCATGACCATTTACTTGAAGGTGGAAAATGTTCAGTACAGCCTGTACTGAACATTTTCCACCTAATGCCTCTACTGTACAGGCATTAGGTAAATTGCTTTGTTAAGGGTTGTTGTGTGGGCAAAGTCCAATTGATTTGTGCAACCTTGATTGGATTATAAGTTGCTTTTGGCGATTGTAGATTTTGATTGGGGTGTATTTTCCATTTAAACTGGTGCACTGAGATGTTTCACAAATTTATAGTCGGAGAGATGTCACTATGTGCTTTTGGAATCACCTGGAGAACCACGACCTGGGTATACGGGAGGTCGTGGGTTCGATCCCAAACCTGATGCCGGTATCTTTGGAGTTTGCGTGTTCTCCCCATGGTTGCGTGGATTTTTCCCTGGGTCCTCCCGTTTTTTACCTCCACATTTAGAAACATGCGTTTATAGTATTTGGCTGTTATACATTTCCAGTTAATAAGCCACTTCGTTGAGCTATCATTTGTGGCCAAGTCGCTTCTGAAAAAGAGCTAATTAGCTCAGTGGGCCTTACGTGGAAAAAAAAAGTTAATAGTTTAGTTCACGATCCCCACATCTCAAATGTTCCGAGGTCACATTGTTCACGCGCCTCTGGTCACTATAGCTTCATTACCGACTTCCAGGACACTATTTTTCTGTTTGTTGGAGCCTCTTGGTTCTAAATTTATCAAAGTGGTTCAGCAAAACCCCACTTTGATTTCTAGACTTAAAGAAATATAGATGATGGGATATTGATGCTATATCTACCACAACAATGTGTGGATAATGCTGCCTTAAGCTCAGTACTGTGGTCCGTATACCTAATTTAGGAATAAATACTGTGCCCTATGAATACTTCCCAAAATTGTAGGCTTAAATAGAATGGAGAAAATTATATGGGAAGTCCGCAGTGGAGTGGAAGCACCAAGTCTACCAAATGTGGAAGTCTGATCATCCTACACAAAAAAAAACCCCACAATGCTTGGCATGTGAACTATGATGCTGACAGTGACATGCAACTACTCGTGACCAACGAAAAGCCATCTCTCCCATCTTCCAGTCACGAGGGAGACAGATGATCAATGAAAGTGAAGAGACTGACCTGAACACAAGAGCCCGCTGGAAGCTGGACAATTGACATCCGCAAGTCGGTCATCCACCACGGTCCTGGGCAGCTGCTCCGTGTTCCTGTCAGGCTTCTCCGAGCCGTCCTTTGTCGTCGGGCTACAGTTTCCCCTTTCCAACTCCTGGGTGATCAATCTGGCCCCCACTTGTGCTGTCAAGGCTCCTCCTATGTTGGCGCTGTCCCTGGGTGGAGGCGTCTGATCACATGGGTCACCGCTGCACGTGATGTGCACGGACAGCAGCAGAGAGTGCAAGAACCCACGCGGCTTTACGACGAGAGTGCGGTGTGGCTGCATGCTGGGGCATCCCATGGCCTCCAGGCTGATGTTAAAACGTATCTGTGAGACATAGACAAAGATCCCCTGTATAGCCTTAACAGACTGTTGGGGCAAGCGCTGTTAGCGAGCACCTATGAAGGCCGGCATGGCACATGTGGGTGGCCATCGGCAACTCTGGTGAATGTAAATTTAAAACAAAAACTCTCTCTCGAAGTTGACAATCAATTTACACAGATTTGTATTCTTGTCATGTTTCTGCTGTTCTCCCCAGAATAAATAAAAAAAATCCAAACTGTTGCAATGCATATAAAATGAAATACAAATCTCACCTTCATGTACACTTTCAACAAAGCAGATGTATGCGGGGTTGTCATTCTCATTTGCCTATAGCGTATGGCTCACACTGGGAAGGTTGCCAGTCGAAACCCAAGTAGGGGGGGTTAACTCAGTCCATTATCCCTATGTGGGAAGACTACAATATTCATCCTGCCCCTCCATATTGAGAATGAGGATGCCAATGGAGATGTGTGTATGTTGAACTTTTTTTTAGCACCTTACGTAGCCAACCGTGCTAATCGGAGGTGCACCATTGCTCATTTGAGCACAAGTACACTTTAACATTGACTTCCTTTCTGCATACAGGTGAAGCAACAGCGTAAAACTAAGTTCCTATTAAAATGCAAGAGTGACATTTAGGTTTGGACTCACTTGTAGTGTGTAACCGCACTCACCGTGTCTTCATCGTCGTCCTCTTGGCACTGCTCTAGCCCTGCTTTGGCCTTACCCTGGCATGTTTCTGACACAGCGATGGACAGGTCCTGAAGGTCTCCTATCAGCTCCAGCTGGGATGTAAACTCCTGCATGTTACACGCAGGGGGCAGCCGTCACGCAACCACAATCTCACAGCGAGTGCTCGCAGAGCGTTTGCGAGCACCCAACAGGGCACAACCCTCGTGAACAGGCAGTGCCCTCATCGGAGGAGAGTGCATTCCAGAGGGGGTACAGCCCCTAAAGATGGCCAGCGATCTGATGGAAGAAAGTGTCCAAATAGATCAGAGCCCTTACAAACAGCTATTGATCTTAAAATAGCCTTTTGAGTGTTTATTGATCTCACGAAGGCTTCCCAACGACGTGTCATGGGCAGTGGTGGCGAATGACTATTGGGGGCCCTAATCGGTTATTATTATTTTTGGGGTGGGGGAGCCTTTTTATTTTAAAACCCCCAAGTGAGATGACAGAAGAGAGACAGAAATGCAGTGAGATGAGAGCGATGTGACAGATGTAACATGACAAAGATGTAAGTCAAGACACAATGATGGGGTTACATAAGAGAAGTGAGATGCAGAGAAGATGGGGATGAGTTATATCAATTTGCTTATTTGATGTTTATTAGCTTTTTGTGTTTATTCTGATTTGAATTTGAGCTGATATTTGGCTCACCCCTTGCAAATTAAAGACACAATGCAATAATGTGGAAGTAATCGATAGGGTTGCATATACACTTATTCACAACTTAAACATGTGCGGATCACATATGTGGAAGCTCTGGTTCAAGAACAGATAGCAGAATCTTGTAGTGTTATATTAGAACACATTATGTTCATTGACAAACTATGAATGCATCTTCATTAACATTTGCAGCCCTGTTTAATGACATTACCCTTATTATCTATGTGGCCCCCAAACAAATTGTTATGATGGCCCTTCAGTGGGCAATCACAATCACCCAGTGACTGTTATGAGATTTCATTGACATGACAGGTAAACCCAATTGTGGAGCTATAACCCCTTTGCAGCGCCATCACTCACCCTGTACATGTTGAGGATAAGGCTCGGTACGATATGTGACTTGGTTTCTAGAACAGCAGCCGTTGAGCCAGGGATCAACTTTGAGTAGTTCTGCAATGATGAAAGGAGACAAAGGCCGAGTTATACTTGGTTCCAGCAAATGTGGAAGTGGAGTTTGAATATGGTGCCTTTGAATAATCTAAATATACTCTTTCTACTCTGAAAAGAGGCCACTGTCAGAAGTGTTACCTCACCAGATGTTTATTTTGTTTCTGTTATAGCGGAGTTTTATTGATGATGATGATGATGATGAGGAGGAAGAGGAGGTGTTTTCAGTTGGTTCCTGTACCCCACTGATAATTTCCCTAAGTTTTATTTTAAATTGAATCTAAACAAACTTCAGCGATCGAACAATTTTTTTTTTTTAAAAGGAAACCCAAAGTGTCAGGATTAAACAAGCAATAGGGTTGTGATCATATTTATTGGTGGTCGTGAATCATTAATGGAAATTCCATATTCCCTTGGTGGGGGGCCAGTCCCTCCATAGGATGACCACTAAATATAAAAAAGTGACTGAAATGCTTTACGTGTTAAAATATCGCACGATTACGCGAGGAGTGTGCCCCTTTGCTCATTATGTATTTGTTTGGGTTCTTGTAAATATCAATCAATAAATGAATGTTTATTTGTTACACGGAAAGTCCCATTTAGCCAGTTATCCAGTTATGTTTGCAAGGGAAACCTGTGGTGCATCAGCAAAGAACAAGAACATCAGAGTGATCCATATGGAATAACGGGCAACCACAATACCTTGCTGATCTCGTCACGGTAACCTAAACCGTCACGTGGACTCTGGTCATCCTCGCAGCGGCTTTTGGCTGGCCATTGAACAAAGATGGTCACTGCATCGAGCGCTTTCAGATGTGCTTCTGCAGCCATCTGGAACGCTCTTCCTTCTGATATTAGGAAGCCACTGGAGCTTTGCACTTTTAAATCTAGATTGAAAAAACGAATTTCTTTAGAACTGCTTTGTGTTTAGTTTGTTGTCCTTCTACCGCACCTCTGATTAGCATGGTTGGCTACGTCGCGTGCAAAAAAAGTTCAACATACATACGTACAACAACGGATACTCTACCTGGTAAAGTTCATATTGGGGTCTGCTGACGGCGAATATGAGCTTGATGTTGTTTTCATTGAGTGCGTCGCCGAGCATGCCCAATGAAGGGTACTCCTGCAGCCGTGAAAATTAAGATCTCAGCAGATCAGAGAAATTGTGGAAATGTGAACACGCATTAAAGCAATGAAGATACCATGGAGATCAATATTTCAAATGAGAGGCGATGTTCATTATTTATTCTCTTAAAGCATTATTAAATGCTTAAAAGATATAGTGGCATATAAATTTATATATATATTTTAAAGCGTTCAAAGTTCACGTAGGCAATCTCACCTGAGAATGCGTAACTATGTTGGAGTCAATGACAAATAAAACGTCACCTGATGTCCACATGCTCGCATTCATATACATTTTTTTGCTGAAGCATGTTTGATTCTTTGTAAACTCTCATTCATTTGTAGTGAGTACAACTGAGTCGCAGACGTTGTTCCTTTAAGAGGCAACACATTTATTTGTAACATCGAAACACAAAGGGGTAACTGCCCCTTTACCAAATACAACCTAGGGTGGTGACCACCCAGCTAACTACACTATACAGGGGAGTTACTGCTATGAAGGGTCGGACCCTCACTCGGGTCTCCAACCACGTGGTCCCTCGTAGGACGAAGCGCTTCCAGCTTGAGATGCAGAGCTTCCAGCTTGTAGGTGTTGAGCTTCCAGCTTGAGATGCAGAGCTTCCAGCTTGTAGAATGAAGAGACCCCGGTCCCTCTCAGAGACCCTCTTTATATCCCTCTCCGGTCGGGGCTGCTCCACCCTCGGCCCCGCCCGCCTCCTTGAACATTCTCATTCTCTCTCGATCCTTCTCAAGAAATCTCTCCGGACACGTGATCACCCCCGAGTCCCCCCACCTGGGGCCCCCTGTATGGACATTCCGGATCACGTGTCTACGGGGTCAACCAGAGTGCCACGGCCCGGGGCAACCCTGCCCCTGGGCTGACACTCACCCCCCTCCCCCTCGGGGGAGCCCCCACCACACGCTGTGCGTGGTGCCCGCACTATCCCAGTGCTCGCCAAGCCCCGCTAGGGCTGGTGTTACACACAGCCACCCACACGGTGCTGTCCACGCTAGGGCTGGTGTTACACACAGCCACCCACACGGTGCTGTCCACGCTAGGGCTGGTGTTACACACAGCCACCCACACGGTGCTGTCCACGCTAGGGCTGGTGCTACACACAGCCACCCACACGGTGCTGTCCACGCTAGGGCTGGTGTTACACACAGCCACCCACACGGTGCTGTCCACGCTAGGGCTGGTGTTACACACAGCCACCCACACGGTGCTGTCCACGCTAGGGCTGGTGTTACACACAGCCACCCACACGGTGCTGTCCACGATGTAGGAACATCGAACGGCACGACCCTTCCGGGCCGGCACCATACAGTGACATCCCTTCGTAGCATCCAGCCGTCCCGGCTGTCAACTCCACCCTCAACGAACAATAAGTGATGCAATGAGCAAAAAAAACACAGTGTGCCTCAACAATAACGTGAACAGAAATAAATACCCCAACCCACCTGTACAAAAATAACACTACGTACAAATGTACAAACCAACAGGGAGAAAGGTGGAAACAAACGAACCCATAACAACACAGCAACAACAAAATAAGGAAACGCGAAAACCACGGGATCCCCCATACCGTCACACCTCTCACCTTCGCCGTGTAACAACGCTCGCGGGCTCGATGGCGGCCAGGTTCAGCCAATGACCGCCACGACTCAGCGAGCGTGACAAGCAACCAACCAGCGTGGGAGCATGTGTGTGCAAGAGGATCATGAAAACCGAGTCTTTGAGCGAGTCCGTGATGCCGGGCCCCCAGGGGGGGGGGGTAGGCTCGCTCACCCTGGAGGACCCGGGTGGAATGTGCAAATGTTCTGCCGAACCCGGCTCCTCACGGAGAGCAGTAGGCCGGGTCGACGGATCCTCAATGCTTGGGACCTGCGGTGTCGACATGCGCAGCCACGCAGCGGACGTCAGTTGTGCGGCACCTGGGGGCGGGACGGAATCGCCCCGCTGAGGACCAACCTCAACGGGCACACACCCCGGCTCGTCGGACACAATCGACACTCGGCCCCTGCGATGTGGAGATGAAACTTATTCGCGCGGCGCGATAAACGGTTGCAGGCGAGAGGGATGCACGAACCAACTCCGCCGACCGACGTTGATCTGGACACACTACTGTGGTCGAACAACCCGAACGACATCGACCGGCCCCTGCCAGGGTTGTAGCAATTTAGGCGATGTACCCACCGGCACCTGCGGCCAGTGCAACCAGGCATCCAATCTTACAGAGAATTACGCACACCCTTAAGCCGTTCGTTGGCCAATTGTCACGACTCAGAATTAACCCTGGAGGCTTCCCGCGCCCCGGAAAGCTTCTGAATAGTGAAGCGAACGGAGTCCGAAATCCTAGATTTATACTTTGCCGGCGTGGCTGTAACTGTACATCGATGGGGGGGTCGTATTCCCTCCCATACCATAGAAAAAACGGTGAGTAGCCAGTGGATGCGTGCGGGGCCATCCTGTAAGCGGCGAGGACCCCAGGGATATGTAAATCCCAATCGAGTTGTGACTCACTGAGCTGGTGGCTCAACATGGAAGTCAGAGTCCTATGTAGCCGCTCGACCATGCCATCCATCTGCGGGTGGTACGGCGACGAGCGCACCTTCTTTGTACCCAACAAAGCGCAGACCTCATGCAACAATTTAGAAGAAAAAATCTTGCCCTCATCGGTCAAAAGGCGTTCCGGAGCGCCTTTGTCCATAATATAACCATTGAGGAATGCCTCCGTAATGGTCACAGCCGATTGATTAGGGAGCGGCCAAGCGACAGGCCATCGAGAAAAATACTCAACTACCACAAGCAGGTATTTGTTCCCCCGAGCAGTAGTGGGAAACGGGTCAAGTATGTCCAGAGCAACCAGTTCGTTGACACACGATACCTGAATCGACTGCAAAGGGGGTCGGCAGGGTTTCGACGGTGGCTTCTGCCGGGCACACCGCATGCAACCCTTGAGCAAATCGTTCACATCCGCGGCCATGGCCGGACAATAAAAATCCTGTTGTTGAGCATGGTCAGCATTTTCTGCAGGCCCAGGTGCAAGAGCTGCTCATGCACAGCCCAAACAAACTCGCCTCACAGGGCGGTGGGGATAACTATGGTGTAACGGCACAGCCCCCCATCCAAATGCATGAGCAAGCCGCCCCGCAGGACTCCGAAGCGACGCCCCATCGATCTTTGCCCCCATCAGCTTCTCTCACACGACGTCGCAATATAAGTAACGAAGCGTTTTCCGCCTGAAGGCGTCCCCATTCCACGTAATCCAGCCCGAGGACTGCATCCCGTGCGTCCGGACCGGAGCCCGGGCCGCCTGTCGGCACATCAGTAGATGCGGCGAGAGAAGAGGGTGAGGTCATATCAGTCGATTTACATAGTCCGGAACCCGAAAAACATGCACAACCTTCCGTCGCTGGCAACCGCGATAGGGCATCGGCGTTCGCATGATGAGAACCCTTGCGGTACGTAACGTGGAACGAGAAATTCTGCAGGATCTCCAGCCAGCGTGATAACTGGCCTGACAGCTGATCCACACGCAGCGCATATTGGAGCGCTGCATGATCGGAGCACACCTCGAATCGTCTACCATACAAGTAGGGCTGATACTGCTGCACGAAAACCAATGGCTAGCATTCACGGCGCGTAATGCAGTAACGCTGTTCGGCCGGAGACAGCATTCTACTGCCATATGCAACAACCCTCTCCACCCCTTCAACAACCTGCGAAAAAACGGCACCAATGGCGGTATTGCTAGCGTCCGTATCGGGGACGAACGGCAATGAAAATCCGGATAGCGCAAGGGAGGGTCGTTCACCAACCCCTCGCAGATGGCACGAAATGCAGCCTCCTGCCCCCAATGAAACTGATGACCCTTAGCCGTTAACGCGTGGAGAGGTTTTGAAATTGATGTGAACCCGGTGACAAAGCGTTGATAGCAAGACGCAAAGCCAATAAAACTGCGCACCTCAGTCACATGAGGTGGGGGTGGGCCAACTACGATCGTACGCAGTTTTTTCCAGGTCGGTCGCAATACCCGTTTCATCAACAATGTGGCCAAGAAATCCGAACGATTTCCGGAGAAGGTGACATTTCTGAGGCTTGAATTTAAGGTTAACCGCACACATTTTGAGAAAGACAGCCCACAAATGGTGCAAATGGTTATCAAAAGTGCCCCTGAAGACGCTCACATCGTCGAGGTATATTAAGCACGAGTCCCATTGAAGACCCGCCAGGACCAGTTCCATCAAGCATTGGAATGTGGCCGGCGTAGAATGGAGCCCCATGGGAAGCCGGTAAAATTTGAACAATCCCTGGGGCGTGCGAAAGGCCGTCTTAGGTCTCGAGACATCGTCAAGCGGCAACTGACAGAACCCGGATAGGAGATCAAGGGTGGAGAAGAAGTGTGCCCCCCCTTTTTTTTCTTTTCTAGATATGAGGCTTTCGTGACTGCAAGGATTCAATGATCAGCTACGGCCGAATAATTCATTCTGCCATGTTTCAAACCTGATTTGTGCTCGCGAATTCGGTCAGAAATATGTTATTTCGTCTCCCCGATATAGCAGTCACCGCAGGTACAACTCAAATTTGTAAACATCGGGGTACTGTAAGTCAGGAATGACATCCTTTACAGATGAGATCAGATCACGGATTTTGTGTACTGTATTGAACCGGACCTGGATTTTGTGTTTGTTCAGAATTTTGGAAATCTTTTTGGTAACGCCTGCTATGTATGGCAACGTGATGATTTTGATCGGAGTATCAGGTGGTTGTTTCTGTATGGTGGGAGAAACAGCTTGGCGGATAGTACGGTCAGAGTATCCGTTCATCTTGAGGGCCAGATGTACATGTTTTAATTCACTGGCCAGGTGGCGTTGGTCAAAAATGCAATGAGCCCTATGGTATAATGTTTTGATGAGGGAATTCTTTTGAGCTGGGTGGTGGTGGGAATCAGGCTTCAAGTAGGAATCTGTGTGGATGGCCTTCATGTAAACAGAATGTCCCCCCCTGTAAACAAAATGCCCCCGTCAATGCGTCCAGCGTATCGTCCATGCGAGGCAAGGGATACGCATCCGCAACAAAGACCTTATTAAGCTTCCTAAAGTCGACGCAGAATCATAAACTACCGTCATGCTTCTTCACAAGCACAAGCTCCCCAGGGACTTGTGGATGGTGAGATGATGTCTGCAGCCAACATCTCATCAACCGCCAGTCGAACATGTCCCTTCTCCGCCGGGCTCAGCTGGTCGGGATTCTGTCGGATAGGGGCCGCGTCGCCCATATCAATGTGGTGACTCAGAAGCGACGTCCGCCCAATATCGAATTTACCTTTGCTGAAAATATCCGAAAATTCACGCAAGAGCATCCGCAACCTCCCCATCTGATCCGCGGACAAGGTACCACTTTCAGTGCACAATTTGTCAATCCAACTTTCATCCACATCACGGGATTGTTGTGCATGAGACTCAGTACCCACATTCCCGACGACGCCCCCATCCGGACGTGCCGGCGAAGCATGAGCCAACACCATACCCTCCTGGATGACCGTGGTGTCCAACCCAGCATTAAGAACCTGAATAAAGGGTTCCTGGTCGTTGGATACCAACGTTTGGGCCGCCACCAACGTCAGCCCGCGACTGACCTTGCCGGAAGGTCCCAAGACAATACCGTTCTCCGTAGCCCCAAATCGAGCGGCATCCTCAAGTGGAGGGGAACCAAACATCTGCACGCCGGGAGGGATGCTCACCGTTCGCCGTACGAGCGCCTGCACCATAGCGTTGGCCGCACACAACCGAGTGGGAGAAGGCAAAAATGGCATGCAATGGCCGGAAGGCAATTGCAAACAGCCACGGTCAATGCAGATTTTCACGGGCATCCTACCAAGGAAATCGGTTCCAAGTAAACATGCAACAGCCAGAGATGTGGAGACCAGGATGTGTCCTGACAATTTAACAGCAGCGATGCGCACCTCGGCCGTTATCCGACCGATAATGCCCAATAAGCCGCCGTTGGCGGCGAAACACGGTGCATCAACAGGGTCTAGAGCCCGGCGTTTAGAAGGCAAAAATATTGTAAATCAATTCCGAAATTATAGTTGCTGATGCACCCGTGTCAACCAGCATCCTTATTTCCACACGGCAAATGAACCCGCGGCCGCGGCCACCACTCGATGGGCCAGCTCCGATCACTGATCCGGTCGGAGCTGACGAACGCTACGATTATGCGTAGGACTCCCCCTCACCCCCGCGCGACCGGGATGTGAACTGAACCACCTAGATGGGTGAGGTGGGGCCAGGGGTCGAGTATGGAGTGCGTCGCGACTCGCCTTAGGGTGTAGGGAAGTGTAGGATGGCGGTGGTACGTGGCAGCCTGATGACACGTCCCCCGGCAGGCCGCAATTATAGCAGGTAACACGGCCACCTCTGGAACGAGACGACGATCTCGGCCGCCGCTGCTCGTCCATCCATCATGCGTCCCCATCACCCCGGCCGCCACCAACCCCGGGTCGACGCGTATGCCGACACGGGCTCCGCTCCATCCGACGGCTCCGGTTCCGTAAGGGGCATGGCACACGTCACCAGCGCCCTGTCCTGCTGCAGAAGTTGCTGGGCTTGGATGCACCTAGCGACCTGAAGAGACGAGATGTCGCCATCCTCAGCTGGAAGGATGGTTTGGATGGATTTCGCTAATGCCAGCAGTTTCTCGAGGACCAACGCGTCGATTCCGTCATGGTCCATTTCAGGGAACGCGGCTTTCTCTCGCGCCAAAAGCACGCTACGGAAGGCGAGGGCCGGCTCGTTCTCCCCCTTCCGTCGCGTGGCAAATTTGTGGCGCGTATTCGCTGGAGGTTTGTAAATGGACGCCATCTGGTCGAAGGCCTGCGTGAAGGTGGACCTCTCTGGCGGCGGGATGGCGAGAAACGCTGCTAAGGGCATCGTCATCGAGGGCAGCGGGCAACGCACACAGCGCCTCCACCTCCGTCCATCCCGCCAGGTCAGCATTCATGAGGAATCGCTGCTTGAAGGCCACCCAGTCGCCAATGGTAGCAGCAAACTCCTTAATGAAGGGAAGTCGCTGTCAGAGAGCCGGGATGCCCATCGGCACCGACGGCGCGTCTTCAATTTTGGTGGGCTGCGCGCCCTGCGCCGATGACAAAATGGTGGTCGAAAGCGCGGACTGCGCCCCCGAGTTTCCCGCCTGCTGTGAAATGGCGGCGGAGTCGCCTTCCACGAGCAGCATCGCTGCTTCCTCCTTCGCCGACAAAACTGTGGGGCTGATCTACGCCAGCAGCGAAGCTGCAGCATGGAGGAGCTCCGCGAGGCGACCGTGCACCTCCCGGAGGGACACCCCCACCGACGGCGAAGCATCAAGCGGACGGCTGAAGCCCTGCTCCACCGGCAGCGTCTCCCCCGCATCCTCCACAAGGTCCTCGTCCTCGCTGTCCGACGTCCTGGTACGTGGTAGTGACGTGTAGACATAGTCTACAGCTAGCTGAGTAACTAGTGTGTGGGCCACTTCCGACACCAGTTGTAGTGAGTCCCACTGAGTCGCAGACATTGTTCCTTTTAGAGGCAACACCTTTATTTGTAACACGAAGGGGTAACTGCCCCTTTACCAGATACAACCTAGGGTGGTGACCACCCAGCTAACTACACTATACAGGGGAATTACTGCTAGGAAGGGTCGGACCCTCACTCAGGTCTCCGACCACGTGGTCCCTCGTAGGATGAAGCGCTTCCAGCTTGAGATGCAGAGCTTCCCGCTTGTAGAGCAAAGAGACCCCGGTCCCTCTCAGGGACCCGCCTTATATCCCTCTCCGGTCGGGGCTGCTCCACCCTCGGCCCCGCCCGCCTTCTTGAACATTCTCATTCCCTCTCGATCCTTCTCAAGAATTCTCTCCGGACACGTAATCACCCCCAAGTCCCCCCACCTGGGGCCCCCTGTGTGGACATTCCGGGTCACGTGTCTACGGGGTCAACCAGAGTGCCACGGCCCAGGGAAACCCTGCCCCTGGGCTGACACTCACCCCCTCCCCCTCGGGGGAGCCCCCACCACACGCTGTGTGTGGTGCCCGCACTATCCCAGTGCTCGTCAAGCCCCGCTAGGGCTGGTACTACACACAGCCACCCACATGGTGCTGTCCACGATGTAGGAACATCCGAACAGCACGACCCTTCCGGGCCGGCACCATACAGTGACATCCCCGATGTCACTACACATTCACAAAAAATATTCAAGTAACAAGATGCTTGGTGAAATTGAAAGGTGACACAAGACCAAAACAGGTGATTGAAGGGGTTAATGTTCCTTGTATGAAACAAGTGTCTTAGCCTATTGCCTCTTCAATTCCCCCTTCTTCCCATAGCAATCGGGAGAGATTTGCAAATCTAATGTTTTTCATTCAACATCTGCATTTTTTCACCTTTGTTACAAGACTATATCACACTATTTCTTCCAAGTTGATCAAAAATACAATATTTCATACTTGTGACCATAACCATTTGACTCGAATGTACTTTGTATTGTTATTTTAACTAAACATAGCTGCTCAGACAGCAGGATGAATTCCAACAACTAAAAAGGTTATTATTTATCAGAATAAACGCAAAAATAGCTTTCAACAGTTTTGAAGCAAACATATATTCTGGAGTGGACATTTTTTGTGGACTTGACTCCCTCGCTCGCATGTCCCACTACTGCCCCTCTCCCTCTCTCTCTCTATCCCTCAAGAGTGGCGTGCGTCTCAGCCAACGTTGCGCCCCCTGCCCTCCCCCAGTCAGCACCATGTCGGCGGCGCGCGTGTAAACGGAGCGCCCGCTGAGGTGGCAGCGTCCATCGTGGGGCCGCACCACTCCGGCCAGACGCGCGTCCAGGGGCAGGTGCAGGTCGGCGTCCGAGGCCACGAGGAGCACGTGCAGCGCACCTGGCCGCCAGCCGAGCTGCTCCTGTGTAGGGGGCGCACACAGGGCTCCTGAGCCAGCTCATTGCTCAAGGCCTACTCTCTCGCATTGTGTGGGTCTATCATCATCATCGTCATCGTCGTCTTCGTTTATTACTTGACCACCGTGCCTTGCCCAAGTATAAAAACAAATACAGCAGCACCAATGGAATTAAGCTGCGCATTTGCACAATGCACATATTATGAACTAAAAAACGCTAAATATTAAAAAAAACACCAATAGCATTGTGTACACTCGATTTCATACTAGACAAACACTTTGAACTGCCCATGTGTAGTGACATAATTGTACGCTGAGGATATCCTCAACATTGTACAAGGTTTGAATGAAGTGCGTTTTTAAACCGCTTCTTAAATTGTGGTACATTTTCTGGGGAAATTGTACGTCATCTAACAGATTCCATTGCTGTAGTGTCATTGCAGAAAAGGCCCCGTCAGCTCTTTTCAAATAGGTGTAATGAGCGACTTCCGCGACACGTCGTGTAGAGGGTACTTCTTCTTTATTACTCACACTGGGCACAACACAGGCCAATGCTAATTCCTTCTCACACTGAGTACAACACTTAGATATTAACGTCTCTACTGGCTACACACAGCCGATCACTCGGCTACGCCGCTGGCTGGCTGGCGTGACGATGACGGCGAGTGAAGCCACGCAGGAGATCTTCCACGTGGCCGGACGACGGAGAGAGATGTCGGCGAGCAGCGACGCAGCCAGGACCCAAGACCCCACACACGAGCCCCGGGTCCGCTTCCCCTTATATCCCCCCAGGCGTTGCTAGGCCCCGCCTCCGGCCACGCCCTCTCGTGGAACCTTCCAGCAGGTTCTCGGAGTATATCGGCTAGCCCCACCTGTTACCTTTGCCCCAGATACACCTCCCTCTCTGATTGGTTGTTACTTAACCGTGCCTGTAACCGTGATTCCCCTTCCAGGCCAGCAGGTGTCACACTGTCATTACATAGGCATGCGTTTGCACCAACAAGCCACTGTGTCAGTTGTTTCAAGTATCGCTTAGGAAAAGGATCATTATGCACAATTGATGTATACGTATTTTAACAGGTGACATGCGTTAAAATTCCAAGCGTTTCTCTGTTCAAGTTTGTGTTTGGTGTTGCTCGTGTTTGTTTACAATACTGACATTTATTTGCTGTATAAGTCAGCCACTGCTGGTTTCCCACAAAGATGTCCTCATTATATCTGACCGCGATGGACGATGGCCCAAGTCGGCAACGATTTGTAAACGTGTGCTGAATGCTTCAGTTTGATTGTGAGATGAGTGCAATGCATTATGGGTTGACACCTCTAAATCACTGCACCGACTAGCTAGGATAATGCAAATATGTGGAAACATTTTGTCAGCGGTATTCTATCGACAGTACACATTACCAAAAAAATGTTTACTCTGCAATGAAGTTTACAATTACATCTGCCAACTATTAAGTCAGCTAGTTGAACAAAACATGGCACACATTTCCCAGTTTCCATTGTTTACTTTATACATTTGGCGAACCTAACATAAGTGCATGAATCACTTCCATACACAGTACACAGCATTAATGCCATGCTTTTCATGAAAATACACTTTTAATATATATTTAGAAAAGCATCAAGGTCAATTCTTACATTTAAAAGAACCTGAAATGAAAATGCTTTGGGGGAAAAAAGAGGGCAAGGCTGCATAAACCTGAATTTGTGGACAAACAGCAAAAGTGTCTTCCCACTCAAATAAGAAAAGAGCATTACACATCTCTCTTTGTGTTCCTACAGTGAAGGCCAGTCTTTGCATAGGGCAGCCACTCTTGAATTCCCACAAAGCAAAAGAGCAATTTGAAATATTACAGTGAACAAACACCTCTCCCCTAACCTTGCAGACGGCAGCCTGCAGAATGGCGTCCAAGCCGCCCTCGGGCCCGTCCAGGTTGGCAGATATGCGCTGGCCTTGCACTCGCAGGATGAACTCCGGCACTGGGGGCACCGTCTCCGCGTCCGCCACCGCCACGCCGCCCAGTGGCAGTGCGTGCCAGAAGGAGAACGGCGGGAGGCACGCGAGACCCACCACCCTGCGTGTGCGCACACATAGATGAAGATCCCCCCCCCCCCACCTCCGTATTGCCTGTAACAGATTATTGGGGGCAATTGCTGATAGCGAGTAGCACTTATGAAGGGAAGGCACAGCAACACGAGAGGGCGGGTGGCCAATACCACACCCGACCCCCTTTTCTCGTCCTAGTGGTGCTGTTTTTACACACTGAGGCTGAGTCGACCTTGGGGAGGCCCATGACCGGTTCAGATAATCGTCACCGGTGTTGGCCGTGAGTGGGAATAAAACTCAGGTCGCCGGGTTCGTAGCACAGCGCGCTAAACGCTGCACCACCGCTCCCCACACACACACGCACCCCAAATGCACATCCACCCGCATGCGGCTATACATGTGTAGTGACGTTGAATAAGTCAATGTAGCGCGTGCCGCTGGGAGATTGGTAGACAATAGAATAAGGGGTAACAGCCCGTTCTACCGGTTGCACCTGTGGGCAAGGCACGGAACCCTCTGAGGGATCCAGAGGGGGGAGGGGCCGAGGGCGGAGCCTGGCCACGTTCCTGAGGATAAAAGGCGAGCTCCGACTCGCAGTCGGGGCTGCTGCAATCTGGAATGGAACTCGTCATGTGTCGTCGTCGTGATCTTCGCCCTCTTCAAGCTGTGGGTCTGGCAGCATGTTGGCTGTCCCGACCCGGTATGTGGTCATCCCCTTAAGGCTGTGAAGACCGGAATAAAAGCGAGAGAGAGTACCTCCTACTAGTGTCTGTGAATTAGCACACTGCACATGCGATGCAATCTGATGTGTATCTATGGTCGCACCGCATGTTGTTCAGCATGAAATCTGACATTTAGCTCCGTGTGCTGGACGCTTCGGGATTTAATACAAGTATGCATTTTTTTTTATTAACTTCTGCTAAATAAATGTACAGTTCTATATACTGTATACAGAAGCGCATACTTGAGTTGGACAAAATATTTGCCAAAACCAATACATTTCTCTGAAGGAAAAAAAATTGGTGGCAAAGCCTGGCCTCGGTGTGCCGCTCATAACAAGCTGGCCTGCACAAATCATGTCCCCCACACACACACAAACCCATCCCAGCCATCATGACTCGCCTGCATTGCTTGGAGACAACAGCTGGATGTGTCGGTATTATATTTCAAAGCCACGTGGCCAAAACAAAGAACCAAGCGTGCATATATTGCGCTGTGCAAAGAAGGTATTTGAAGATTATAATGCAGGGGACGTGAGTCGTGCCCTACGTCAACTTGGGACGTGTATTTTTTGTGAAAATCGTGCTGTGTGGATAATGCACATGATGGGGTCGCAGTCAACTCCTTCATCCCCACTCCCTTGAGAGGCACCGCTGACCCCTTCCCTCACTCGCTTTGCCTGTCGGTAGACGTGATTTTTGGTGGGGAAAGGAACAATTGCCCCCCCCCCACCCCCCACAGCACTTGCGGTGAGGACCATACATAAAACTAATGCTGCACACGCGCTGCACATTACTGAAAAGTGTGTGCACCACACAACCTACGTATTGAATCCGCACGCTCCATGCACAAGCACAAACTGAATTTAAATTGACTCCACTGTGCCGGCAAATATCTGACATTACTTATTTATCACTCATTTTCATGTACTCGCACTAACAAGCAAAGTTACAGTGTCTCCATGTGCAAACAGGCACGAGTAGTGCTCATGTCCATTGGTGGCCGTAAGCCGGAGGTAGACATTTTCCACATTCCCTTGATGGGAGCGAGTCTATCCACGGGACAACCAGTAACCACTCTTGACATTTAACAAAATGCTACTCGTTTAATTAATGTCACATAAGTGATGGGTCTTTGCATCCTAGAGTCAACACAAATATAAAGATCCCCCGTATAGCCTTAATAGACTGTTGGGGCAAGTGCTGTTGGTGTGCACTTTTGAAGGCCGGCATGGCACACGAGGGGGTGGGGTGGCCAGCACCACGCCCGGCCACCTTTGTCTCCCCAGTGACGATGTTCATATACCGCACCAGGTAATTATTTTAAGGCCGAGTCGACATGCGGGAGGCCCAGGACCGGTTCAGAATAACCGCCGCCAGTGTTTGTGGCCGTAAGCGGGGAATCGGACTCGCGTCGCCGGGTTTGTAGCGCAGCACACTCTAAAACCGCTACGCTACCGCTCCCCCGCTGCCGGACTCGACTTAGGACCTGACGCACCAGCAAGGGTTTAGACGCCGCTCAGGCAGGCCGCTGGCAAAGGGGCTCACGGGCTTGTCCGCAAAGGCCCCAAACCCCAGGTGCAGCACGTGGTCCGCTCGATGGGGCCCAGTCCCTGGAACTGCATCTCCCAGGACCCGAGCCAACAGGGACCCCAGGTCCTTGGCCGCCCGAAAGTGCGGTAGCATGGAGGCCGAGGCGTCCATGAGGTAGTAAACGTCCAGTGCCGGCGGTGGCCCCAGATTCCGTCTCACCAGCAGCTGCACGCTCGCCGTGCCACCTTGCAGACACGTGGGGCGAGCATTGACCGCCTCCGATTTAGTGCCTCCGATTAGAATTAGCATGGCTGGCTGCTGACGGTGTGAAAGAAGTTCGACATACATACAGTACATTGCAAAGGAATGAGAGAGGCTTTGACAGCCATAATAATTTGAATAATATACTGTGGAGAATTATTGTTGATGGAGGAAAACCTCACTGAGTAGGCAGGAAAGACCCACCTGCAGTGGAAGATGCAGTGTAGCAAGTGGGTTTCTAATCGGCTACATGTGTGAGGTTTGAATGTCAAGCATATGCATTTTTCATAATAAAGGTTTTTGGGTTAGATCGCGTTATTAAAAAATGTGTTGTAACCCTCCACCACCCGACACGGCCAGTCAGCAAAAAAAGTGTCACGTTGACAAAAGACAATTAGTTCATTACTTTAGCCCACCGGTGTGTTGAAGAGTGAATCCACAACATTTACAGTTTGAGTACGACGTTTCGCTGGTAATTACATCCAGCATCATCGGGCAGTTCGCCAGCCAGAATGGTGGAGCCCTCACTTGCTCCCGGTCTTAAATAGAGCAGCAGGGTGATTTCATCATTTAACTCATTTCAGGTGCAGTGATTTGAGGCGGAGGGGGGGTATTGTAATTATATAATCGATTGGTAATCAGTCAATGGTTATGATTAGTAATGAGTTGTAGATTAGTAATTAGTTGTAATGTGTGTTATTGTGATTATATGCTACATTAGTCATCCGTTAATTAATATGTGTTTCCCCTATAAGGAATTGTAATGTGTATTATTTAATAATACGCTTCCAAGCCACACTAAGCCTGTAGCTATCGGAACGATTAAAGTTCTGATAGCTATGCATTTTGTGAGCACTCCAGTGTGCCTTCGTGTAAAAAAATGCTTTCAGAGACGTACGCCATCCATTCCAATGCAGAACCCTACTAATAAGCATACTGAGACTCAATGAGACCTTTCTGACCAAACAAATGCAAATGTGTAAATATAAATTGTGACGCCGTGTTGCAAGTGATTCACGAGCACAAATAAATAAAAAAGCTCAAAATGTCCATAAATAATGTTCTTATAAAAAATAATACATATATAATAGACAACATTTCGGGCAATGACCTTTGCTATAAAGAAGGGCTGTTGCCTGAAATAACACCCATTTTCCTTTCATGGCCGTGTAAATATAAATACATATGTAGACTGAAAGCTTTCGTGACTGCTGGAATTCATATTCTTTGGTCTTTCGGTAAAGTCACGTAGATAGGTTCATGGTAGTCATCAGAAGATGACGATTGCTTGTGTTGCGATCGAAACGTCTAGTTTATTGTTATTTTTGTTATTTTCTTTGAACCTATCTACGTGACTTTACCGAAAGACCCAATAATATAATACATATGTACTCTTTGGTTCTGTCGGTAACTAAAACAAATCACGACGTTTTCGATCGCAACACAAGCGACCGTCATCCCTGCAGTCACGAAAACTTTAAATCTAAATAAATATGTATTTATGTAAATAGTATCCCTACAGACTTTATCGCCTCTTTCCACTCTGGTTAACTCTGCCGAGTAACGCGGCAAGGCACGCAACTTCGGCACCAGGCAGCTTGCCGAAGCCTCGTGCTATCTCACAATGTGAGGGCCTGTTCCATCACATTGTGATGCACGTATACACACCGTCAACATCAGCCAAACCGCTTACAAAGCAGGGGGATAGACAGATGGGGAACGGCGGCTCGCTGCCCCAGACCACACGGGGTCCCACCAAAAGGGGAAATGGTAGCCTCTTTTTTCAGTAAGGGGGAAGGGATGGCAAGAGGAGAGAGGGATAATACCGAAACACGGGTGACATGAAGAAAATAAAAACATAAAAGGTGACATAAACAAGCAATCTTTCATTCCAACCCTCTTAATCTGGATCCCGTCTCATCTGCTGTGGTTATGCCCCTTTATCCTCAGTCCCTATCTCCCGACCCTCCATCCTGATCATTTATTTCAGCTATTGTATAAGGGGGGACCATGTGGCCTCGAATTTTCCCTCCATCTCCTTGAGCTTATGGCTCAGGTGTTCCATACCTTAATGTGCCATAACTCTACCATTGTTTCCAGTTGGGTTTTACAACCAATTTTAATAGATGTGGCAGCGGTCATGTATTGTAAGCCCCTGGGCACGGCCACTTAGTTAGCTCTCCTCCATTCTTGACACGGGGGAAATGAGACGTGGCGTGCGGGCGAGCACCTGGCCGGAGCCACACGGCGGCGCGGTGAGGTGACAGAGGCCCCCAGGGCTCCGATGGGTCCTCCGTGTGGACGCACGCGCTGGCTGTCCTGATGTGCTGTGACGCGCAACCCTCAGCCAGCAGCCGCCAGATCGGCCCACAACGTCCACCCGGCCTCCTGCATGGCTGGGTAGCAGCAGGGCAAAAGCACACATACACGGCGGTGACAATAAAAAATATAATATATTTAAGTATAAATCCTCCAATCCGACCTACAGCCTGAAAGGGTAATGGTGTTAGCAAGTGCTTGTAAAGGCTGGAATGACACGCACGTGAGCGGGTGATGTCAGTATCAAAGTAAATCGGCTTTGTCCCCCCCCCCGCAGTGCTAATGGTAAAGCTTAATCGACCTCGAGAAAGCACAGGTTAATTTCAGTAAGAACCAAAATCTGCTGATGTTGTTCATGATCAGGAATAAAATTGTTATGCAACCATGCATGTGGAGGGCCCGCATGGATGACCCCTTAGATACAATAGCATCCCCCATACATATGTCGTGACATCGCTGGATGGCACCGTGCTGTAAGTGCAGTGCCGGCCCTACAGGATGCGGTGTGTGGGTGCCGACCTAAGGGGAAGGTCGCGTGAGGCCATGGCGCTCTGGTTGACCCGGGAGGACACGTGACCGGTTAAGATGACAGGGGGGGCCCCCAAGAGGGGGCTAGGTGGGTCACGTGATTGGGACCCAGGTCCTTCCCGATGGTTCTGGAAGGGGGGCGTGGCCAAGGGCGGAGCCGGCCACGCCGCAGAGAATAAAAGCCGAGTCCCGAGAGGGATCGGGGTTGTTGTTGTTGTTCATCCCGGGAAAGAAACCCTTCGTCTACGATCTCCGTCCTTCGAGTCTTCCAGCACGTGGCCCCGGGCAGATGCTGTTGGTCCCGGGTCCGTAGTAACAGTTACGTGGTAACTAGTGTGGTAACTAGTGTGGTAACTAGTGTGGTAACTCGTGTGGTAACTAGTGTGGTAACTCCGTAGTAACAGTTACGTGGTAACTCGTGTAGTGAATAGTGTGGTAACTAGTGTGGTAACTAGTGTGGTAACTAGTGTAGTAACTAGTGTGGTAACTAGTGTGGTAACTAGTGTAGTAACTAGTGTAGTAACTAGTGTGGTAACTAGTGTAGTAACAGTTACGTGGTAACTCGTGTAGTAACTAGTGTGGTAACTAGTGTGGTAACTAGTGTGGTAACTCGTGTAGTAACTAGTGTGGTAACTCGTGTGGTAACTAGTGTGGTAACTAGTGTGGTAACTAGTGTAGTAACTAGTGTAGTAACTAGTCTGGTAACTCGTGTAGTAACTAGTGTAGTAACTAGTGTAGTAACTAGTGTAGTAACTAGTGTGGTAACTAGTGTGGTAACTCGTGTGGTAACTAGTGTGGTAACTAGTGTGGTAACTAGTGTGGTAACTCGTGTAGTAACTAGTGTGGTAACTAGTGTGGTAACTAGTGTGGTAACTCGTGTAGTAACTAGTGTGGTAACTCGTGTGGTAACTAGTGTGGTAACTAGTGTGGTAACTAGTGTAGTAACTAGTGTGGTAACTCGTGTAGTAACTAGTGTAGTAACTAGTGTAGTAACTAGTGTGGTAACTAGTGTGGTAACTCGTGTGGTAACTAGTGTGGTAACTAGTGTGGTAACTAGTGTGGTAACTCGTGTAGTAACTAGTGTGGTAACTAGTGTGGTAACTCGTGTAGTAACTAGTGTGGTAACTCGTGTGGTAACTAGTGTGGTAACTCGTGTAGTGAGCCGGGTGATCACCACCCAAGGTTGTTATTGTGTGAAGGGGAAGTGTTACCCCGTGCGTTGGAACTGAATAAATGCACTGCCTCCAAAGTCGACGTCTGTGGCTCAGTTGAACCCACTACACGTACAGAAAACAGGTCAACTCTCCTGCGTACACAAACATGCACAAGAATAGCACACAGGCACACACACACTTGTAATACTAATTCTGTTTAAGGGGAAAAAACACCATCTCTTTGAAGTGCAAAGGGGCAAACGAGATGTGTTCTCCTCCACCATACTAATTGAGTTTACAAAATACAGCTTTGTTGATCAATGCTCAGACTTTAAAGTGTTATCCCAGTTGTGGGTGGAGCGAGGAGCGGTAGTGTAACGCTTACAGCGCTGCGCTACGAACCTGGTGATGCAACTTCAATTCCCAATCACGGCGAACACCAGTGGCCATTACTCTGAACCGGTCCTGGGCCTCCAGTAGGTCGACTCAGCCTCAAATAAGTACCTGGTGTGGTGCGTGAAACATCACCGCTGGGGTGATAAAAGCGACACGGCCGTGGTGCTGGCCACCCACCCCCCCTCGTGCGCCGGCCTTCATAAGGCGCTCGCTAACAGCACTTGCCCCAACAGTCTGTTAAGGCTACACGGGGGATCTTTGTATTTGTGGTTATTTGTAGTGGGATGTGGGTGGCGGCACAGTGCATCGGGCACCTCCTGGGAGCACCACCCACATTCGGCGCCTTTCCGCAGGCACCCGGTGCACGTCTCGTCCTCGCATCCGCTTTCTGTGCGACAGGGGGATGTTTACATCCGTCATTGAAAAAGAAAAACGAAAAATCCCCTGGGGGAACTGAGTTCCATTCACTTTTGGTGAAATGTGTACGTTGGCGTTGGAAACCGAAATACTTGAGCTTGGGCTACTCGCCCCGATGTTTGGTAATGGAGACATCTGCACGTCCTTTGTGAGAGACATTGCATGAAAAAGGGACATTTGCCAAAAATACAGGAATTGTCCCGGATCCAAACATTGCCCATGGGGTTATTGATG